TGGTGCCTTATGCAAAGGGGGGTATTCAGGTGCAGGATTTGTTGCAAATTTCATAGTTTGTTGTATCCTTGACCATGCTCTAAAGAAAAATTTGAAGCTTAATGGGTTGCAAAAATGATTTAACAATATGCTTCTCTGTGTCAGCTCTTTCCACTATGATCTCTTATAGCTTGATACCAGAAAGTAACCCATCTACTTCCCTTTCCAGAATATTTGCAGCCCACAAGAGTGGGTGGTTTAGTTTTTAGCCAGGTGTGCTGCTGCACTGTAAAATTACATGATTTAACCTAAATCCCACCCTTCCGCCTATTGCATACAAATTCCACTAGATGTCATGAAGGAGAAGGTTTGAACCACCGTGTCCATCAGCCTCCCCCTGGGGAGGGTGAGTGTGGGTGCAGGCTCTGGGTGAGGACACTGCAGTGACACCTTTACAAATGGTCCCTTCTAGCTTGAACGACTCCTGGTGAGACTCTGAGACCTGCAGGTAACTTCTGATGGGGCCTTTTCCCTTTGGGTTCCTTGTGCTGCCAGGTGTAGGGCACAGAACAGCCCTAGGATCATGAAGGATGTGCTACACAGGAACCAGTTATTGCTTGGTTTATTCAGTGGTTTAGCTGGATGTACTTTTCCAGAAAGAAAATAAGGGAAATGGAGAAGTATCAAAATTGAGAAAATGCTTTCTTGCTATATATTTGAAAATAACCTGATAAAAAGTTAGGTTATGTGTGCAACAAAGCATCCTTTGCTCACAAGGATGCAGGGAACACTGTTCACAGCTTCAGTCTTTACAGTAGGTCAAAACAACCAATATGTTGTCTGCAGATATAGGGATGATGAAGTGATTTTTGTTTCTGGGTTGAAGTTGGCATTGCCTGCTAATAGTCACTGCCTGAGGAATTTTAATAATTTCTATATTCATGGCTTTAGGTTTTATCAGTAAGGCTGGAAAAATCTTACATTGTGACCCATTTCTGTAAACTCTGTTAACCATTGTCCGGCTGAGTGAGAGCAGACTGGAGTCTAGATAGCCCTTCTGGAAACCTGACCTCAGTTGTACTCTGTGATCTTTCTGTTTCTTTTTTTATTCCTAAAAACTGTTGTGTCATTGTGTTAGCCTGATGGTCTGCAGCCATCTCAGTAGGAAAGGAAATCATGCCACAAGATGGACTAGTTTTTACAGGAACTTTCACCCTACCCCTTCAGTCAGGCTTCTCAGAGGTGTGCTGTGGTTTGGATACAAAGCACTGTGTGCTGTGAGACACACTTCCACCAAAGCTCAGCAGTGAACAGGGCTTCTTACACCCCCTGCAGGTGTTTCCTTCTTTGGAAGATGCCAGTTCTTCATCTTGTCATAGTTCAGTGTCAAATTATTGATTATAGTGTGGGCCAAGTCAGAATGTTTGACTATGTTAGTCCAGGGCTCCCCTTTCGTCCAGATGTTTGCTCCAGTGCCTGGAGAGTTTCTGGCTGGACTTTGGGCTTTGTTTGAACACTCAGACTGTGTTCACGCTTTACTTTAGACTGACATAAGTGACGAGCATGTTGCCAAACTCATGGCTGGTCAAACTCTGTTCAATATTGGGTCTCTTCTATTTATCTAAAGCGGCCTTCTTGACCTTCATGATTGACAAACCATTTACCACAGTAAATACATTACAGACTTTTTCCATAGGTAGTATGGAAATTGTGGGGTACTGAGTTATTAGTGTTATGCAGAGAGTGTTTATCTTGTTTCATTTTTGAAGTTAGCCTTCTAATAGCAGAAACCTTCTGGCCACAGTGACTTGACAAAATCCCCAAACCTGTTGTGACTCCACTGATGACGAGTTTGTAGGCAGCTGCTGCGGACACTTCAGTACTTTGGCTGTGCCACAGATTTTGAAGAGAAGCATTGCTAATCTGCTCTGGTTTTTTTTCTCTCTGAACACAAGACTAGAATGGTCCTGAAAGGTTTACATTTCTGCATTTTGTGCTGTACTCAAGATATTTTTAACTTCATTAGTGAAAGGGACCATGTCACTTTCACAGGGCAGGTCACTGAAGTAGTTTATAGGAGTGCTTTAAAGCAGTGTGGTGCTTAGGCTGTGTTGTGCTTGAAGAAACTGAAGGAGAAGTGCTCAGCAGAATGTAAATGTTGATCATCTTTAGGGTCTTTCGAGAGGGTAATTTCTGGGGGTGTTTTGAGAAATGAGGGGGAATGAGTTTCTTTTAAAAATAGGCACATTGGTTCTTGATTTGTTTAAATCCCCTTTTAATGACTAAAACATTTGGGGCTTTATCTACCCAAGCAAAGCCAGGGGATAAACTTAAGTCCCCTCTGACTTTATTTCTGAGCATCCAAGACAATTTTTAATCATCCAATGAATATTAAGCAATAACTTGTTTTTCTGCCTCTGTTTAATGACTGAAGATTTCATTTCAAAAAGCCTCATCTGTAGACATTACACACTCTGATAAGACCAACTCATGTCTATGAAAGGAAGATGAGAGCATCTAATTTTGTCATGTTCTACTATCTGTTTTTTCTTTTCACAACCATAAAGAAGGTGACATGTGAAAAGCCTGTTGCTTAGGTGTGGGCTGGGAGGAGTGGCACTGAGGAGTCTATGGTGGTGAATTTGAACTGTTCATCGCGATCTCAGCATTAATTTCCTTCCTGTTTCACTGTTCATAATAATGCAGTGTTTCCCTGAGTGGCATGTTCAATATGTGGGAGAGATTTATACTATGCTATACCATATTTTTATTTAGGATAATATTAAAAATATCTATTTTGGTTAATTAAGTCTTCCAAATTGGAGAGTTCAAAGCTAGTCTGCTAACTACACATTCAGGGTCTGCTGGACTCTTGAGTCCTTCCATAAAGAAAACTGAAACAGAGAGAAGTTAATTCACTTCAAAAATGTACCTGAAGATGGCACAGTGATTGATTTTTCCACTGGAACATTAACAAACAATGAAAATGTTTTCTCAGGAGTAAGGTAGAATACTTAAAGAAAAGTCTGAGTCACTACAGTCAAATCTTAAAGCTTTCCATGTACTTCATCCTGTTTTCCTGTGCTGCTGTGTAGCTGATGGCCAGCCTGATTCAACTGTTTCTTTTAGAGACAGTGAACAGAACAGTGAATTTCCATTCTCTCATGGTATATCTTTTCCAAAGAGGCGAAGTGAAATCTAGTTTAAGAAAAAGGCCCAACCCACAGCTGTGAAACCAATGTGTGATGTTGGGGCTGTTCCTGAGCACGAGTGGAGGGAGATGAGTGCACCCACCTTGCACATGAGCCAAGGGTGACAGAAATCGCTGAGTCCTTTGATCTGTGTGTTCTGAGTCATCCACATCCCTCAGACCTTGTTAAAACAACCACTTTGGACAGGCCTGCTACAGCAACAGACACATAATCCCAGGCTTCCAGCATCCCAGAGCCAGGCCTGAATTTCTGCTGTTACTTGCTTGGTGAAATGTGGTCATGTTGTCAGGGGTGCTCAAGTGGGCTGGAATATCTCTGGAGTTAACAATCTGAGCAATTGACCTTTGCTGTTGCTATTAGGTTTGTATTGCTGATAAGGTGAGAGACTTGAAAATAGCCAAGGTTGTTGGGTTGTGAAGAGTGAAATACTTTCTTTTTGAAGAAGAAAAATATCTTTCTGCTCTTTCACTCTACCAAATTATGAAGTAGGGATAGATGCTTGTGGAAGAAAGTCAAAAGTCTGTTCTTCCCTTCTCAGAAACTCTGTTCTACCCTAACTGTGTAATACAGGTTGGTGCAATTGCTATGACAGTCTCCTCTCCTAGCAACAAGCCATTCAAAAATAAATTAAAATCCTACCTATCCATGCTATTAAATATGATTTTAGTCAGAAATTTCATATAGGTATGTTTGGCTAAATCATAGCAAAACTGTGAAACAGTGGGGAGCAGTGGAAGATCGGGGGCATAATAATTTGAGGGATTTACAGTCAAAAGAATAATGTTATTTGAATGCAGTGTCTGTTTAGAGGGTAGCTGATACTTCAGAGTTCTCTTTTATCTTCTGTGAGCTTGAAGTTCTGCAAACAGAGACATTTGGTCCATGTAAACGGTGTTAGAGCAAACATGGTGATGTACCTTGTGTGGGAGGCCTTGTTGTTATTCCTACTTCACAGCAATTAGATTTATTCCTAGTGATCCTGAAAAATGAATTCATGTAAGAGTGGCAACTGGAGACTGGTTTAGTTAATACAGGAGCATCCAAGTTTTGCAGTCAGACTCTCAGGAGCCTGTAACTTAAAAATGATACTGCAAGACTGGGGTCTTTTCTTCTGCATTTATTAGCTTTGAAAGGAAGATGGCATTTCCAATGGCTTCCAGCTATTACAGTAGGTGATAGTGGAGGTTGGCACTTTTCTATGTTCCTTCCAGCTGTTTTGCATATGACACAGATTTTGATTCTCCCTTGGAGGTCCAAAGTCCCCAAGGGTTGGCAATAAGAATATGGTCTGTTCTGGCCAAGAGGTGACGTCTCTGAATTTATAGCTTCTCCCTTTGGTACAGAACAGAGTGGAGCTCACAAAGCTCATGTTATTCTGGAAAAATGGGGAATTTGCATGGGTGAGATAAAATCTTGTATTGCCAACCATGTGATACCAGTGTCTCATGATGAGAACTCATAAAACCAAGGCATTCTTTGACTTATTTTCATTACAAGCTGTAATGTCACAAGGTCCCCAACACTGGAGTTTTGGGAGTGCTCTTGTTCTTAGGTACATATTTCAACCATAATCACAACTTTTCTTTTTTGGGGGTTGTGAGGATGGGTTTGTGTAAGTCAGTATGACCTGCTGCAGATATCTCAGATTATGATTGTATAAAATGGGCAAAAAGAAGGAGAAGTGGTGAAGGTAAAATTAGTATTTGAATATAGAGATGAGAAATAGTAGCACAGTGAGACTGAAAGAATTGCGTGCTTCAGTATTTCAGTAATCACAATGGAAAAATCACTTCAAATAAGATGTAAAACCACTATAAATCTTTATTTTGAACTGTATTTTAATGACGAGTTACTTATTATTTTTCAATAAATTAAACAGCAAAGATGCTACATACCTGTCTGTTGAATATCAACTTAATAAAAATACAGCTTATACAAATCTTACATAATTTAAACCATAGAGATTTTAAGACATACCAATTTAGAATATATTTACATAGCACAACAGCATTGTGGAACTCACACCTATTAACACTTCACATATTTTTAAAAGAGATGTCATTGTCTTGGCATTTTCTTGTTATGCCAAAAATTGTCAGTCATCCTCGTTCTTCTTCTGCACTTGATAATCTTTTCCCAATGCTCAGCTCACAAGTCTTGTGCTTCCTAACAATCAGCAGTACTCTGGGATCTAAGACATGGTTCAGTGTTCATAGTGCAGATCAAGCCTTGGTTTCCATGTCCTGCCTTGACTCCGTGGCGTGCGGGAGGAAGGCGTTTTCTCCCTGTGCTGCTCTCACCCTTATGACAGCATCACCCGCTTTTATCCTGCATCCTGTTGCCTGTGAAGCTGTTTGTATCTCTCTCATACTCTTCCTCCCAAGACAGGGATTTTCCTTGGCAAGATCCAACCACTGTGGAGGATCTCTTCACAGGATATTTGATAGAGTCTCCTTGGCTCTTCACGCCTCAGACACTTTATTTTGAAGTGTTGGTTTGCAGCTGGTTCAAAAGGTTCAGGTAGGATTTGGATTTTAAAAATCTTGGATATGAATCTCTTTCCATAAGGATGTACACTGTTTTCTGGGCTTCATCAAAACTTGTGTGAGTTGGGTCTTGAGCCTTTTTGGCTGTTGCTTCCCTCATCTGATAGTCAATATTGATCTGGAATATAAAAAAAATAAATGCGGTTTAAAACTTAACTTTGAATGTAGTCTCTTCTGTATATCTCTTTGTCAATACATGCATTTGCAGCCTTAGAACTCTGACAGCTCAGTGTCAGAACTGTAAGTTCGGGGAAATCAAATACCTGTATCCCAGTTAGGCACAAAATTTGTTGTTCACTATAGAAATGTAGTTTGTTCTGGAGTCAGAATTAATATAGCTCAAATTTGAGGAACAACCTCCAGTTACTAAAAGAAATCCTGTGTTGAATGTCTCCAGTTTAGATATGATCAATATACAGAACTTTAACTTTTCCAGAAGGTCAGCATATTTTAAAAGACAAGAAATGTTCTGTGGTGCTTCCACTCACAAACACAAAGATTCTTCAAAGACTATCAGCAATTCAAACTGGGCTGGCTCAAAGAAGAGCTTCATGTGCTGAGTCCTGCTGAGCTCTGCCGGGGGCTCTCCCAGCACTGGCCTGCTGCCTGTGACTGTTTCTGAGATTTCATAATGTTACCCTGCATGTAGCTGTGATTCAAGAAGGGACCTGAAAGTGTGTCTGTGTCTTCTTACGCCACTGAGTGAGTGTGTGAGCATCTCAGTGGAGCCATATTCTCCCTTCTAACTCTGCACAGGCTGGCTTTATACATACCTGCTTGATGGCATCTGACTGAACAAACTCCTCGTAAATCCTCTCTGCTTTGCCATGTAAGTGATCAAACTTGGTTTTCTTGTAATCCTCACAAGCCAGCCAGAACTCAATGTTTTCCTCACTGAACTCTGACTTCAGGAACTCCCGAAAGACACCTTGACCACCTAAAGCCAACACAAATAATTAATCTTTTACGGTATGATGCTTGTGACCAGGGAGGAGAAAATAAATAGCAGGATTTGTATTGAAATCTGATGTAAAATCTTGCCAAAATACACTCTTCTTCCCCTCTTCAATGTGCTACAGATATTCTAATATTAAGGCTGATGGGAGTCTTCCTAATTATGTTCAGTGTTTTTAGATCTAGACTCTGGGTCCTGATCCTATAACAATGGATTCTATTCCTTCCTAAATGGATTGTCTTGGGGTATAAGTGTAGAGAAAATTCCAGATTAAACTGATAATCCAAGGATTGAAGACTGTTTAAAATGAGCTATTTGGGGGTTAATAGCTATACTGAAAATGGAAAAAGACCTCAAAACCCAGTTTGGAAGCCAAACTGTAGCAGTGTCCAAGTTACACTAGAGCTGCAAAAAACTGAAGTGTACCTGTCCATTGTCTGACTGTATACAATTCTACAGCTTTGCCTGTTTGGTGAGATTAGATAAAACTTTGTTCTCAGAGTAAGAACTAAGTCATATTGAGGTAACAGACTTACTTTGGCTGGCCAAGAGCTTTTCCAAAGATTGTGACCACTGAATGACTTCCTCTGCAGAAAGCCTAAGGTGACAAGAAAAAGAAAAGGCTTTAGGGGAGAAACTATGGGGTTTTGTTTGCATGTCTGAAGGAGACAAAGTTTATAATTTATCATTATATTCCAGGAATATATGCCAGGTATTTTACTAAATTGACAGCTTTGTTATAATCTGAGATCCTGGAGACAGCCCACATCAAGAAAAATAATCAGAGATGGAAAAAATAGGGAACTATGATGTTATCTTGAATTCCATTCCCAGGAAAATAGTCTTTTACTGTAACTATGATAAAATTATTTTGTACCTGTACTTCTGTTTCCATATTTTTGTAATAAGAATGGTAATACCCTACTCCTCATTTAAGTGAGAAGCATTTTTTCTTGTAAAACTTGAGAGAACAGTTACAATGTCCCTCTGATAAAAATGGATTTAAGAGAAGTGTCTTCTCCCTCACTGTTTGATGCAAACATATCAAATCACTAATTGAAAATCCGTAATTCCATGAGTAGTTTCTAATTACTAATGTTCACCTCTCTCGTATTTTGGAAATTCTACATGATTTTACAATATTTGTTGTTCTAGAAGTAGTTTAGAAATTAAGTAATTTACTATATGGTAATCTAGCTATGATTGTATTTTATGACTTGGAGGGTTTCTGTACTTACATGACATTTCTAGAGCTGGAAGTCTTGATCCCAGATTCAATATGTGGCACCATGCACTTCAAATAACTTTTGAAATCTGCACCACTGAAACAAAGAACAGACATTTTTTAATCCATTAGAATTGCAGTAGCACTTAACTTCTTTTTAAATTTTCTTCAAACTTTCAGAGACAGCCCCATTCTATGACTGAAGTCTGGGAAATTGCATATCCAAGTAATTTTTTTAAAAAGTCTGAGGCCCCCCCCGTATCCAAATTCTGTTTTGGATTATTTAAAGTAATCAATTCATTGGTATGCCTCAGCTCAAGGTTTTTTAAATGATGTTGCAGTCCTGGGCTTTGAGCATGTTTTGTGCATTTAGACTGAACCGCAGCACTAATTCTTAATCTCCAAGATTGGTAGAGTGTTATTTTCACTTCTAATACATTAAGTTTTATACTAAGCTGTATATACTTACAAAGCCTTTTGCTTCTTTTTATGGACTTTGCCTTTTGCAAGCTTGCAATCTTCTTTCCCATTTAATTCAGTCATGTTGTTGTGGGAGAAAAAGAATCCAGGCATTTTCCTTGGCTTAAAGTGAAGCGCCCCTGGCCATGATGATCCTCCAGCCGCGAGTGACAGCTCCCTGCCTCTGCTGCCGCCTTTTATTGACGCAGGCAGCCCTGCGAGCTGGTGTGAGCAGAGCTGTTTATCATACATCTTCATCACAAACTCTGGAAGTTCCCCTTTCAGTGTTCAGTGACGTGAGTCTTTTTCGAGAAAGAAAACAGCAGTGTCTCGTGGTTGAGGTTATACCAGATGGGGCTGAATTGCTTTGGGGTTGTTATGTGTCACTCTGTATGTCTGTTACAAAAAAAAAAAAAAAAAAAACCAAAAAAAAACCACCACACCAACAAAACTCTTTAGAACTTTGAATTCTTGTCTCTTTCTGATGGGTGCTTGCAAGTCAGAAGTATTTTTTTGTTTGATCAATACAGCAGCAAATACTGCAGGTTTTTTCTTGACAAAATTCACTTGTTGCATGTCTGTGTCCTGCAATTTCATTCTTGTCAGTTGGTTAGGTGGGCTCAGCTGAAGACAAGGGGAAGGTACTTTAACATACCCCAGTAATAAAGTTCTATATGCAGCAAACTATTTGCAAGTCCCCTGTTGCTCTTCAGACTAGAGCATTACCTTAGACAGGTTTGTTTGGACAAGCTGTGTGAAAATATTAACTTGGTTAAATATTTGCAAGTCAGGTTGTTAGGAAGCACAATGCCATATTTCAGGAATACCTCCCTAATTTTTAGTGACTTGGCATGTATACATATTAATTAGGCTAGAGCTGTTGTTGTAAACAGTGTGAAAATTACAAGCTGTTTGAGGGAGGTGTGAGTTGTTTGTACATACTTAAGCTCCACTGCATAAAAGCAGCCATGGATATAAAGCAAGATAAAGAATTAAGCGTAACTCTCTTATCTGTCCAGGATGGTGATTTAGATGTTGAAATACTTAATCTGGCCCCTGAGCATCCCAATTTCTGCTAGTTTGCTTGAGTTCTTTTTGAATGTGATGTTTCAAAATTGTTGAGCTTTTGGGGTTTTTTTTGGTATTTTTTTTTTTTACTAAATAGCGTGATTACTTATGAATAGCTTGTGAAAGATTCATGCAGGGCTGCATATGACGGTGATAACTGCTGACACATCCCCAGCTGGGAGCCTGAGAGCCACCTGCAGACAGATGTGTGAGGACAGACAGTCAGCCTGGGGCTGGTTTTAACCACAGTGGGCTGCCGGTCCACTGAGTGCTGGCAGTGACACAAATGTGTCTGCAGGAAATATTTATCTCCAGGCTACCAGGCAAACACTGCCCTTTGTGCAGGGGCAGAGGTGTTTACTGACTGCTCTTACCCCTCTGAACAGGGCGCAAAAGAAAGGAAGGAAGAGATGTTATCAGTGCTGGATTTGTTTTCATATCTAACCTGCTCGTTTTGACGTTCTGCTCCCCTCAGCGTCTCATCCCGCTCCCTCAGTTAGGAGCTGTCCTCAGTGGGAGGTTCCATTGCTGGCAAGGTCAGAGGGATGATGCATCCAAACTATTCTTAGAGGAGGGCAACAAAAGGGTAAAAAACATCAGGGAAAATAATTTCCCATCTGATCTCCCAGAGCTCTGTAGCCTCCGGCTAAAAGTAGGGCAATGTCATGAACTTATAGCAGCTGGTAATTATAAGTAATCCACCAGTGAATTTCTGTGAGAGTGAGGGTACAGGATGACTTGCTTTTTTGTACCTGTTATCAATGACGGGCTGTTGACAGTTCATTTACAAGATGAGGAATGTCTTTTCTCCATTTAAAATTAAATTACTGTCTTTAACTTTGGGATTTGCTAAACATATCAATGCACGCAACCAGTGTTGAGTCAGACCTTGCTGTAGAAATGAATTCTCATTCTACTGAGTCTCATTGCACTTCACCTTCTTCCAATAAATATTGTCTAATAAAGAAAAAACAGCATTCTTGTCATTTACATCAGGGTAATGCTGCTCTTCCACAGCATTTGAATTGCTTTCTGGGTCATACAATACTTGATTTGCTTTCCAGGTACTTTATTTGGTGGAGGAGGCCAGTGGTAGTATGGGATAACTCTTAGGTGACTTGTTGCTTGCAGAGATACCATACCACTGGACCCTAGGGGAGGTGGTAAGATTTGCTTTGCAGTCTTGATGCTACTGGACTCAAATACAGTCAAAAGTGAAGTAGGAATAGGTTGAATACTATGAGGAAGTTGTGCCTGCCAAGCAGACAACCTGGAATTAGCTGATGTCCTTATGTTCTGCTGTTCTCATATCCCAAATTCATAGTGCTCTTAACACACTGGGGAGACCTTTCCAGTATTCCACATCACTAAACCCCAATCTCTTCATTGCTACTTGGGCTCATTATCCCTGGTCAAATTTGTTTAAAAAAAAACCAATCAGTGCTGCATGCCTGGTTCACCCTAATCCAGATCTATTTGTAAACTTGTGTAATAATTCATGCAAGAGAGTACATGTAGAAATGTACAAATGTAGAAAGAAGACTTGGAGTTTTGTCTGCTTTGGAGAAAGGATGAACATTTGGCGCATAGAGTCCTAGATTAGGGTCCTAGAAAGTGTAAAGACAATGTAAAGCCCCAATATCCTCCTGTCTTCCAGTAAATGCTGCTCAAACTCTGCATCCATTATCAGACATATCAGTCTGATATAATCATATGATTATCAGTCACTTTTTTCCTATATTGTGGACAAATCCTTTCTTCCTCTGAGTAACTTTGATCTTCTGGCATCCTTTTTTTTTCTCAATGGAATATTTCACTGACTCTGGTTCACTCTTTCTATGCAAGCCTACTCATCTTTAAGGTTTTACTTGTAAAGCCCAGTGCAAATTTCCCAATCTCAACAATGGGAAAAACTGTGTACGAGACTTAGGTACGTGTACAACTTGAAGTGAGAGGGAAAAGAGGAACTGTAAGATTCATAGGGCTGGCAAGAATATTTTTTTAACTGCTGGAGCAACATTCTACTTCTACAGACCACAGAAAAACCAGGAAGAGACCTGCATGGAGTTTCCTAAGTGAAAAATTCTTTGCTAACTCTGACTTCGGTTATTGTAAGCGGTTCTGCTTTATGAAAGAGTTGGACTAGATCCCACAGGTGGATTAGATGTTGACTCCCTACAGTTTTCATGATTCTATTGTCCTGAATACTCAGCCTTTACATTTCTAGTGATGAAAGTGATGCTTATTTGAACTTTAAACTTTAAAAATACGATGCTTCAAACCCATATGCATTAATCTACATTGAATATTGGGTCACTATCCTTCTTTCCTGTAGACAAAAATGTCTGGTGGGATTTAACATGATATCATAAGGAATAGTCATGTTCTGACACAGCAGAAAGCTCTTCACATAACTTCTTCACTCCTAATTTTCTGGATTTCTTTCAGTTTTATCCTGGGATGCTTGGTAACAGACCTGCCTTTTTCATCTCCCACAAACTTAATCTGCAAATATACTTTTCTCTATTTCATGCATGATAGCCAATTGCTGCTTGAAATACTTCCTCACTTAAAAACTCTTCTCTTTTCCTATTATTACAGGAAATTGCAAAAATATTTTAAGCCTTACAGTTTTAGGGTTTATCAGAATAATCCCATTATTTGATACAAAACCTTCTTTGTCTTAAGGTTGGCATTGTCTTAGTTGATTCTGTGCAGTAAAAGGACAGAGGAAAACTTCTTCCAGGAACAGCACCATAACTGGCTGTCACCAGCTGGTGTCTACTCTTTTCCAGATTTCTTCTAGGTTTGTGATGAGTAATTACTCCAATTTTATGTGCACAGAAGATGCTTAAAAATACTTGCTAATATTCAGCCTCTTTCCATGCATCATTTTCTATTCTTTCTGGAGACCACTTGGTAGAGTTCAAGTGAAAGAATTCTGAGAAAATTTCCAAGGTTACAACACTGGGCAGGTTCAGTTAAAGCAAAGAGGACAAAAAGTTCCGTAAACTCCAAGTCCCATTTGCTGGTCAAAATTATTTCTAGCTTCTGCTTCTGACTTCTTCTTTTCTGTTTCTTTTTGGTCACTCTTGTCTGGCCTTACCCTCACTCATTCTCCACTTCAGCCCCACTTTGTTTCTGAGTGTTCTGTTTTGGCTTAGGCAAGTTGTCTTCCATGGGTGGCCAATTTTCAGTTTTGCTGCACTCTTGCTGTTGAGCATAAACTTCCCTGGAGTTAATATGACCACATCTGTGCTGAGCTCGAGTGCCCAGTCAGGCAGTGCTGCCCCACTGCAGAACTCCCCTTGCCCGTCACATAGCTGAGCGTTAGCTTAGCTGTGAAAACAAGTGATTTCTCTGAAATGCGTCTGTCTCTTATGTGATCTAAAGAAATCAACTACTGATAATCCATCTCTCTAGCACTTAAGGGAAATAGAAACTACTTTCTGTGGGAGAGGAAATAGTCTGCATTAGAAAACAAAAGGGTGGTGGGTGCTTTTGAGCTGCAATGATATTATTTTGAAATGTTAACATTTTCTCTCACATTATGTAATCAGTCCATAACAGAGTAGTGGTAGCCATCATGAATTATTTTTAGAATTAATTTCTGCTACAAGCAGAAGTTTTCTGGAAAGAAATCCTGAAGCCACCAAGATCAAAATCTTGCTGCTGTTTTTAGTGGACTCATTTTTGATGTTGGACTGATTTGATTGAGAATTGGGTCTTTTTGAAGGCTGTTTGTTTGGGGTTTTTTTGAAGTTAAGAGGTTCCCCATGTTAGCTTTTGTTCCTGATTAATTCAGTGAGTTCTAATCTTGCAGCCAATAAGGCATGAGTGGGGCTGAATGGTATCCAGCTCCTCAAAATACAGAAGTAGTTCTGGATTTGAAAAATAAGTGGACCCTAATGCTAACCTGCATTGAGGAATACCACAAGCTAAACTTTGATTAATGATCCACCACTTGAGAGAGTCTTGTGGCATTGGATCTATGAGAGACCTGACTCTGAAGGACAAGGGACCAGAGCTTTCCTGAAATCTGTTTTTAGCTGCTTCAGTTCCTCACTATATAACGGCAACGCAGGAATGTTCCTGCAAAATTCCAGTCCAGCTCAAAATTGCCCCGTCTGTCTCTGAAGTATCTGCAGAATGTTTTTAGGGGACTTTTTTTTGTAGGGTTTCCCCTAGCTTCTGAGGGAACCTTGTGGAGTGTTGGCTTTTTTTTCTGTACCGAGACAGTGAAGAAGAAACCTGGCAGAAGCCAAGTCACTGTGGAGAGCACACAGTTGTGTTTTCCCTGGCTTTTTATGAATCACATGGGGATTAAAATACAGTCCAGTCCCTCCATCTGTTCTTGTAGGCCTACTGGCCCTGTAAGGAGATGACAACGGGTCTTTGCATTGTCTGTCTCAACCTCTAAATGTCTCCATGGGTGCTGTGTTCTCAGCATTTGTAACTTCAGTTGTGTCCCTGACCTCTCTGACTGCTTCACATGACTGTTGTAAGTCACAATTACCTACTGAAAGGCTTTGATTTGAAACTTTGTTGAACAAAATTGTCCTTATGGTTATTATTTTCTCTATGGCATCTTTGCAAACTTTCATGAATGGACTTTACAGAAAAATATTATCAATATTTTGTGATAAATATTGTTGGCATTAAGGGTTGTGTTGCTGTGTTTATATGACAGTCAGCGCAAGGAGTTAGATGTGTATTTCCTCACCATACTAAAGCACATTTCACTGACATGCATATCCAGTAATTCCCTCTTTTTTATGACCATTTCTTAATTCGACTGTAGCAAGCTTACACAGTTTATCAGAAACCTGATCATTTTCTTTCTGGGGTTTTCTATCTGAAATAAATTAACTGTTGAATTTCTGTGAAATCAGGGCATTTTTGGTTCTCAGCCATACTGGCTGACACCTGGGTGCAGAAAGAAAATAAAAAAGAGAAAAATCTGCAGTACAGTGGCTTCTGGGTGCCGAGGGCAATGCTTCCTGTATCTGCTGTTGAGTAGGGCAGGAAGCGTTCATCGCTCACCATCTGGGAAACGCACACGTTTCTCATTTTCTCCTCATGTTTTCGTGAGTCCCGCACTGCACTGAACCAGCACTTGGTTTCTCATCTGTTATTAAGCAAAACAGCCTGAGAGCAGGGCCTGTGGCACTGGGGTGTGAAGCAGTTTGCTGAGTTTCCACTGTCAGCATGGAAATGTGATATGTGAGCAAAATACAAGCTTAGCTTTCAAAGCTTGATAGTTTCAGTTTCATCTGAGTCTTAATGGAGGAAAATCAGATGCTTTTTCTCTGTGAGATGGTAAAATTCTGTGTCATTCAGTGTTATAGTAACAAACAATTTGATTGAACACAGCAAGCTGAAACTCAAGGTATCAATTTAAAAAAATGTTTTTAAGAACTTTTAAACAGTAAAATATTACTTGAAGCTTTTAGTGGAGTTATGCTAATAAAGAATTCTCTGAAGAATTGCACTTTTAAGTGTCTGTTTCATACTTGGTGTTATGAATTTCCTGGTTGAATTTTCACTTCAGTGCCAGCCCAGAT